ACTGCGACTGGTGTTCCAGCAGCACTATCACATATCTACCTTCAGGGTCAGTTATCACATGATTAATCACACATGGAAAATTCTTGTGCAGTAATATAGTCACCCCCCTTGCATAAGAGGAGTAGGTGGCATGAAACGCTCTCCCTATCCACCTCCTCTGTAAGGCTAAGACTTTACTTCCCAACAGGTGGGTTTCCTGCAAGAAAACAACCTGGGGGGTTATGAGATTGAAGAAACCGAAGGACCAAGGCCCTTTTAAATCTAGAGTTCAGTCCTCTGACATTCCAGGAAATTATCTGTAAATCAGCTGCCATCGAAGTGCGGTAAATTCAAGCACCGCTGAGAGTCATGGAGAGTGTCATGCACATCCGAAAGCATCCAGGTCCAGAGAGAGTCCCAATCGAAGCCATGGCGTATAAAGTGTAACTTCCCATCAACCACCCTGCTATCCCACATAACAACAAAACTAGTGAGGCAGCTTTGATCCCAAAACTTAAAAAACTAGTGAGAGTATCACTCAATACTCAGAAGTAAGGCAGTCCCGAACAGTGCAAAAAGCAATTAACTGAGGATGTACATTACCGTACCGCTCCTGCAGCTCCCTACAGGAGTAAGTAAATCCTCAGCCATATGTCCCGGTGGTCCTTGTGGCCTTAGAAGTAGTAACAGAGAAGGGATCCGGAGCACCCAGCGGTGCGGAAAGACAAAACAAATCAGGACAACAGCCCGGTAGTAATGGAATATTCCAGACTCTGATATCATTGCACTGTATCCAACCAGTCTGCGGCCGCAGCTGGGTCCTCAAAGAATTTTGTGGAGCCGGCAAACTGTACTCTCAGTCTGCTAGGATAGAGCATACCGTATTTCAGTCCCTTGTCACGCAGCCGGCGACGGACATCTATGAAGGAGCGACGTTTTCTCTGTAAATCCGGCGAGAAGTCAGGGAACAGCATAATGGTGGCATTCTTAAAGCGGAGTTCCGACACTCTCTTCCGAGCAGTCGTCAGGATCAAATCTCTATCCCTAAAATTAAGGAGACGAACCAGGAAGGGCCTAGGGTGTGAGCCCGGGGGCCTTTGGCCTAGGGGAACACGATGCGCACGCTCCACCACATAGGCCTGAGATACTGATTGTTGATCCAGGAGCTCCTTAAGGAAGGCCTCGGCAAAGGATGTAGGATCGGAGCCTTCAGCCCCCTCAGGTAGGCCCACGACCCTCACGTTATTGCGCCTCAAACGATTTTCCGAATCTTCTGACCTTGCAGTCAGCTACACCACCGCCTGTTGCAGGCTACGAATGGATCGTGAGTGTTCACTCGACACGTCTTCCAGGGTCCCCACCTGGGTCTTCACTTCTGTCACCCGACCCCGGATTTTATCCACATCCTGCCGGATTAGGCCACACTCAGTAGCCAGAGTGTCCATTCTGGCAATCAGGGTAGTCTTACTGGCCTCTATGGCGGCCAGGATGGTATTCCGTAGCACCCGGAGGCTCAGGGCTATGAGGAGGAGAGGGGCCGCTCTGTCTTGCCTGTCCCGAGGCCTGCTCCATGTCGTCCCACTCGGCCGTTTGAGTACTGGCACTGATGAGGGAGAGAGACCGTGCAGCCAAGATGGCGCCTGCACGTGTGACAGGGGAAGGGCCCGGAGGCTCACCGCTCACCCTGTACTTTGCCGATCTGCGTTTTGTACGCATGGGGAGGACGTCCACCTTCACTGGAGTCTCTACCAGGAGCAGGTGAATAAGGAACCACCGATGACACCGTTGAACGCACTGTTCACCGTACACTGCATCGTATGGGATATGGAAGCCGAAGGCCTGTTCGAACACCTTTGCTGTCTGCAGTGAACAAGATAAAATGTCTCCAATTCGCACAGGAACATTCGCACAATCCAAGGATTGGACAGTCGAGCATTGGAAAAAAGTCATGTGGTTCGATGAATCACGTTTCCAGTTGCATCATGCAGATGGCAGAGTGAGAATTTGGCGGAAACAGCATGAAAGCATGCACCCCACATGCATGAGTACAACCCTTCAAGCTGGTCGGGGCAGTGTTATGGTTTGGGGCATGTTTTCCTGGCATGATTTGGGCCTAATTCATGTGGAACAACATCTGAATAGCACAACATGCCAAAGTATCGTTGCTGATCAAGTTCATCCCATCATGTTGATGGAGTATCCCAATGGAGATGGCTTCTTCCAACAAGACAATGCGCCATGCCACGGTGCTCGTATTGTGCCGGAGTGGTTTCAAGAACATGAGGGAGACTTTACCTTGCTTAGGTGGCCCCCAGAATCACCACATCTCAATCCAATTGAGCATTTGTGGGACGAAGTTGAAAGAGCCATCAGGCAGCTGGTTCCACAACCATCAAATCTCACAGAACTGGACAGTGCTATTCATCAGGCATGGTGTCAGATTCCTCGCATCACCTTTCAACATCTCGTGGAGTCAATGCCAAGAAGAATCGCCGCAGTATTGAAGGCAAAAGCTGGCCCAACGAAGTACTGATGGGGTGGTCATAATAATCTGGCCACTCAGTGTATGTGGGCTAATAAGGGAGCCAGGATTAAGCATAGCGTTCTCATTCGATCTAAGATATCTGGGGTATAGGTTTTCCTGACTGGGGTTTGTACTACAAAGTCGCACACATTGCAAGGGTGGTGGATTGGTGTTGTAATGCAGACAGCAAACTTTGGGTGAATTTAGAGCAAGATAGGTGTGATCTTCCACTTTGTGGCATAGCTTGGATATCCCCTAAACTACCTCTGTGTTCAAGGCTCAGTCCTCATATAAGCGCCACTATGGGTATTGAGTATGCCCTACCCTCTCAGCATTTGTCCCCACTGCCTTCACCCATGTTGCCTATCATTGGAAATCTATATTTTCCTCCTCGGGTTGTGGGGCTCTACCTTTCGAACCCTTATAGACTCTAATCAGGTGTGCCCTTTTCATTTCACAGATCTTCAGTGGAGGTCCATGGAAGGCATCCGGACCATGGTGGATCCACTGTTGGGGCATTGGGGTGCTATGCAAATTTGCCATTTTATCAGATCTCTTAAAGGTAGAAACCCTATGTTGAGAACCTTAACATCGTTTGAGAAATTGTATGTTTTGACTGGTCCAGTCACATATGTCCTCTCAATGGTGGTCAGGTGCTTGGTGGATTCGTCCACATCTTTTTTCCCCCGGTTCATACAACAATGGGAGTGAAACTGAATGTGTACTATTTTTTGCGCATAAATCTTCCATTTCTAATAAAATCCAGGAAGCGGGGTACAAAATACTCGCTAGATGGTACAGGGTCCCGACTCCCCTGCACAGAATGTTTCCTTCAACGTCTCGCCTATTCTGGCGGTGTGATGAAAACCCAGGTACCCTTCTGCATATTTTTGGGGAATGTCCCTGTATAAGGCCTTTCTGGTTTGCAGGTGACTGACATCATCCATAAGATAACAGGTATGCGCCTCACACTGGAACCTACTGCTTGTCTCCTTCTTAATTAAGAAGTATAAGAATTCTTTGTTGCTCCATCTGGTTAATGCTGCCCGGGCTTGTTTTCAGGCTCAGTGGAAGTAATCGTGACCACCATCGTTGGCGATGTGGTTAAGAAGGGTGGAGGAGATTCACCTTATGAAAGACTTGATGTCCTCTCTTTATATGTTTATCGCCACCTCGTACCCGTGGTTGGGATTTATTTTATTTTTGTTCAGATGTTGAAGATTTTAGTTGATGTTCTTTATGTTCCTGATTACAAAATGAAGAATACAAAAATAAATAAAAATAAGCTCTAACCTCATTACCGTCACAATAGGAACTACTGGAGCCCAGTATATACAGACAATAGGAATGCACCGATACCGGGCATTTTCACTAGTACTCGTAAAAATGCCCCAATAATAGGCGCTGATACCGGTGCTTTAAATATTTAAACACAAGCGGCTGCCGTAAGGTCCTGCACTTGCCAGGGACCTCACGGCGCTGTATACAGCGCCAGCAGTCTACTCCTCCTCTTTCCTGTGGATCCCCACCACCCGCATCCAGACCCCTGGTGAGACGCCACACAGCCCAGGTGAGACGCCACACAGCCTTAGTGAAACCCTGCACAGCCCTCCTAAGACCCTGCACAACCCTGGCGAGATGCGGCACAGCCCACCTATGACACTGCACAATCCACTTGAGACCCTGCACCGCCCACCTAAGACCCAGCACAGCCCACCTAAGACCCTGCACAGCTCACCTAAGACCCAGCACAGCACACAGAGTATGTAGCCTCATATTATTCTGCATTGCTTCATATATTAATATTGCTGAGATCTGCAGTCCTCTATAGCTGGTTGTATTCTGCATTCCTGGATAACGTATTTCTGGGATTTGTTGTCCTCTATAACCGGTGCCATTCTGAACTGCTGGCATTTGTAGTCCTCTATAGTTGGTGCCATTCTGTATTGTTGTATAGTGTTTTCCTGGGATTTGTAGTCCTTTATATATGGTGGTATTCTGCATTGCTATATAATGTACACACATGTACACACATGTTGAACTAGATGGACCTAGATGTGTCTTTATTTAACCTTATCTACTATGTTAGTATTTTTATTTTTTGCTTATTTTATTAGGCTTGTGCATCATTTAGTAACTGGATTTGGTACTTATTTAGACTGTCATACATGAGCCTTTAGTTATACTAAGCTTTGCATAGGATGTACAGCGCTAGCCCTCCTGTCTAAAGGAGGGCTAGCGCTGTACATTCTAAGAATACACATCCTATTAAGGGCTGAGTGCCTTTAGTCCAGCCGCTTCCCATACCCTTTTAGAAAAACTATCCTTCACTATTTATCAATTCTAATTTTTATTTTAACACATTTTATTATTTTTAATATCATATATACCTATTATTCCCAATTTCCAATAGCGCAAGTTCTTGCAATTAATACAAGCTTTGCATAAGGTTGGACTTAATAAAACTATTAATAAGAACGTATGTTTTGTTTCACAGCACTTTATGGAGTATTATTTGACAAGCACAAAGAAGCTGGCTTTGCCAATTATCGTCTGTGGGAGTCTTTCGGATTTGTTATAGCTTATGGGTATAGCAATTTTTTGTGTGTATCTGCAAAATTGTATATATTACTTTCTGTACTTTTATTTGGAACAACGCTTTATGCTGTAGTTGAATATGTTGAAAATAAAAAAATCGTGCTAAGCAGCAAAGAAAGAAATGCAGTGGATATCAATGACTGCCTTTGGCAGCAGACTAAAATGTAAAATTATGTAATTTAGGAATATGGTTGATCACTGTTTGGTTAGCCCTTGAGTGTTCCATATTATGATCATGGTTATGTATGGACATCTCTATGGTGTTAAAGTAAAATTATAATCAATAATAAAATTAAAAAGTTTTAAAAGAAAAAAAAAGGTAATTGATGTGTGGTCATTTGCTAATGTAGCGCCCTCCTGGATTTCACCTCAGGGATGGATCCTTAGCCGGAATGTGGGATGTGTGTAGTGAAATAGGGCGCCAATCACTTTTAGAATTTTCATGATGCTTTATTAGAAACAGCAAAACAGGGAGGGAGGGTATAGAGCTGCAGACATCTGAGGATACAGAAGAATACAGAACTCCGGACTCACCAAATGCTCTCCAGCTTCACAGTGTAGAGTGTCTTTGAACCAGCAGTACAATTACACTGTGTTCAGCATCATGGCTGGTAGACATTTTGACATCTCTTCAAGGTGAAACACCAGACTTCTCACTGAGGTCCAAGCCCACCCTGGCTTCTCAGGTACCTCTAGCAGATGAAGTTCCTCCCTGACTTTCTATCCCAGGAATAGTTCTGGACAACGACTGAGTCCACATCTGACCACCTGCAGGCTTCAGGCCTGGTCAGACAGCACACATGCAACACACCTACCCCAGGCAGGAGGCCCGGGAGAGAAAGAGAATGCCACATGGTCAGACCCAGATATTTATGTCCTCTCCCAGCATGTACCACTGGACATGAAACTCCTAGTGATTGGTTGGAAAGACATACAGTACTGTGCAAAAGTTTTTGGCAGTGGAGAAAAAATGCTGTAAAGTAAGAATGCTTTCAGAAATAAAAGTTTATTATTTGGTTTATTTTTATTAATGAACAAAATGGAAAGTAAATGAACAGAAGAGAAATCCGAATCATTATTTGGTGTGACCACCCTTTGCCTTCAAACCAGCATCAATTATTCTAGGTACACTTGCACACAGTTTTTGAAGAAACTCAGGAGGTAGGTTGTTCCAAACATCTTTGAGAACTAACCACAGATCTTCTGAAATCCTTCTGTCTCTTCATGTAATCCCAGACAGACTCAATGCTGTGAGATCAGGGCTCTGTGGGAGCAAAACCATCACTTCCAGGACTTCTTGTTCTTCTTTAGGCTGGGTTCACACCAAGGTGTAAGGAATATGTGCGTTTGCCACGCTTTTTAACCACAATTTGTGGTAAAAGAAACGTGCTACAAACGCGCGTTTCCGAGGGCTATCTGGTTGTATCATAATGGATACGCGCGGCAAATATGCCCCAAAGAAGCTCCTGTACTTCTTTGGGCGTAGGGCGTTTTGCAGCGCCTTCCTACGTGCTGTTAAACGCCCAGGTGGGAACCATGCCCATAGGCAATCATTGGTTTTCACATGTTGAGCGTTATACAGCGTGTAGGAGCGCGCTGTAAAACGCCCAGGTGGGAACCAGGCCTTACGCTGAAGATAGTTCTTATGACATTGGCTGTATTTTCAGGGTGGTTGTCCTGCTGCAGAACAAATTTGGGGCTTGTCACACGCCTCCCTGATGGTATAGCAAGATGGATAATTATCTGCTTGTATTTTTTGCAGAATTGAAGACATTAATCCTGACCAAATCTCCAACTCCATTGGCAGAAATACAGCCCCAGACTTGCAAGGAACCTCCCTCTACCATGCTTCTCTGTTGCTGCAGGCACTTATTATTGTACAACTCTCTAGCCTTTTGGCGAGCAAACTGCCTCCTGCTACAGCCAAATATTTAAAATTTTTACTTATATTTTTTTTCCTTTTTGACTCATCATTTGTTTCCTATTTTAACTGTTTTATTTCAGTGCTGCTGATCTCTCCATTCGCCATTTTAAAGCCACTTTCTGTGTACATGCACTAGAGTTCTATCAATATTAAACGCTTCTGTCCTTTAAACTTTCTACAAATAGCAATGTACAGCTGCTGCCACTGAAAATGTGTTACCAAAAACATAACTAAGTAAAGACAAAAAAACAGTGTGGCGCTATCACCAATAGCAACCAAAAAAACTAAACGAATCTGTGAAAAAGCAATTAATGATAAACAACCATACAACCATGTGAATTATTTACTTTGTATGGTATTAACAAACTGTAACTGCTTTGCAAGGTATAAGGGAATATATCAATAAACAAACGATAGTACAGTATTGTGCAAACAATTCCAAAAGTCCAAATAGCATCAATAAAGCTGTAATCAAAGTTAGTACGCTATACGTGCCAGAGACCAAACAGTTTATATGTAGGTGCTGTATAATCAGTTCCAAAAGTCCAAAAAAAGGTGAATGAGGTTAAATGCTTGAAGTGAAACAATTCTTTGTAAAATAATTAAACTTCATAAATTTCCACTTTCTGCCTCTCACCTGATGGATGGACCTAGCATTTTGCCGGGTATTAGAACCAAATTATAATTAATAATTAAGTAGTGCCTCCACCTACTTTTATCGAAAGTAGGAAAATATTATGACTGATAAGTCATTTTGGGTTTCAGCCTGACAAATTCTGCTGTGAGAGGTGCGCCTCCCACCCACAGTGTGATCGCCCGCACTGGAACGCACAGTACCGCAATGCCGTACGTTCCAGTGCAATTGCAAAAAATTGTGCATGCAGTATAAATCTGAAGTAAACTTTGTTTGTAACACTGCATTTGTGTATTTTATTTTAAAATAAGAATTGTAATTTTTTTATCCGATTAATCTAAAAAATAATTGGACAAATTATCGATTATGAAAATAATCATTAGTTGCAGCCCTATAACCGAATATCAAGAGATAATGAGTTTTTCTTTCTGGGATCATTAAAAACAGCAAACTAAGTACTGCATGTAAAATAATCAGAGGTATAGAAAAGTATAACAATAAGTTTACTTTCTATAGTGGATTATATTACAATAATTTAAACATACAATAATTATGGTTACAAATTAGCAATTTAAACTTCTATTAAGTGACCATTTTTAAATAGGAATAAAATAAATATCTATTAATTATTTTCAATGAAAATATTTGAATCAAACCAATCCAAGGTTCCGTTAGGTCAACCCAGCAGTAAGAGTCCAGGAAGGCAGGTTTCAATGCAGTGATTTTAGCCAGGAAGTCCAATGAGCAGGAAGTGCATCATCAATGGCCTCAGGAAGTGTCTCAAAAACCTCAAATGTCTCCAGGAATTCTGTGAGTATCAGTGCCCCAGGAGGAGTGTAAGTGTATCTAACATTTTTTCTCTCTCCCTCTCATTTGTGGGGTTGTTCTAAGTGTGAGAACCTTCATCCCATTGGCTGAGGAATTTATGATAATTGGTTGTATTTGTTTGGGGTGTGTCTATGTAAAATCATGCCTGGTCAATAGAGGTCACTAAAGTCTAAAAAAAATCCATTCTTGCTAACTTATAAATGTCCTTAGAAAACGTTTTTGTTAGATATACTTATGGCAATAAATAATGTCTCAATTAGATATATATTTTGTCCTATAATGTAAGTAATAATTTTTATATATATTCTTTGAGACGAATTCTAATTGATTCATTTAAAACATTTTTCCTATATTATATTGATCACAATCAAGTTCTACAACAATTTAATGACTGACTTTACATTTTGATTATACATTTTCCATATAGCATTTATGTATTGATACATTTTATGTGATCCCCCTGGTCTTAATTGGGGGGAAAAATTCCTTCAAAACCCTCGATGGCAGTCAAAGATTCATAGAGAAACTAGAATTATTCCCAGGATAACATCCCTTATTTACATCTAAATAAATATATATTTGTAATTAATTTGTCGAAAGCAGTTCTGGACAGAGAAACACAGATGTTTATCCAAGTCATAAAATCCTGTGTTGTCTAGTCTCTCCACGTAAAAACAATGGAAGCTTGAGTTTCAGTTGACTTTACTTAGAATTCTCATACAACCTGTTGAGATTTTTCCTCTTCCCAGGTTAATTGGTAAATTTAAAAATAATGGGTGGAATTTATCAAAACAGGAGCAGAGAGAATCTGGAGCAGTTGCCCATGGCAACCAATCAGCATCTCTCTTCAGTTTGCTCAGGTAAGATTTGAAAATGGGACAGAGAAACTGATTGGTTGCAGTGCAAATCTGCTCCAGATTTTTGTCTGCTTCAGTTTTGTTAAATTCCCCCCAATGTCTTTTTGTCTTGGTGCGGGTTCATCAGCTGTATTTTGAATGGTTAAGTTCATCAGACTTTGTCTTTTTATCAGTGAGATGTTGATTCTCGAAACTGGGAGAGTTTTCATTTATGAGATAATTAAACATCTATTGCAGGTGTAAGAAAGTATCCTATTCAGGTGGTCTCATTTGAATCTCAATACAATGGAGTTCTAGTCTATTGTTTGGTCATCTGCTCAGTCTTGTGCTGTGGGAAAAGCCTTGAGTTGTATATACAGATGGAAGCCATTTTGTTCCTTCTCATACGGGACTAGTTTAGCTTGTATGATAGGACATTTATATTGCAATATGAAACAATTTATTATTAAATTAATTTCATTTTTAGAAAAGACCTGAAAATTTAAACTAAGGTCTCCCTCTTGTGAGGAGTCTTTATGATGCTGTTCCTCTGGTGGTACAATCCATTAAGAAGAATGTTGCTCTCAAAAAAGAACATATAACAAAAGCTCTGTCTTTTATAATATACTTAAAAAAATAAATATGTTAAAAATGCGCATTAAAACGCAGTCACAAATACCATATAGTTTACGGGGGCCAAACAATCATTGACTTCACGGATTTTCTCCGAATCCCGAAACGAATTGACTTTCGGATTCGAATCCCGAAAAAGTAAATAACGAAAAATCCGAATGAAAACAAAAAAACACATTTTCTGCCAGCGCACATGTCTGATTATGAATGGAACAGGAAAATAGTTAACGTGTGTAGAATGTGCTCTGATTTGGGGGTGCCTTAAATTACGGATGAACAACTGAATCTTAAATAGGTGTTGGGTTTATTTACA